GGTCTACTCATTGTTTGTTTTTAATAACCAAGTCATCTACGTAGCACTCCACCTGGTTGTAGATGAGGTCATAAAAAATCCTTGTCATAGCTCGCTGGTAAGTCACTCAGACATTCTTCGACCCAAGCATCAATGTGTAACAATATATTCTAATTGGAGTTCTAAAAGTTGTAAAGGCTGCATTCTCTGGCACCATCTTGATGTGATTGTACTCAGACGATCCATCCATAAAGGAGAAAATTTCGTGCGGCAATGCAATGTCCACCATTAACTCCGGAATGGGTAACATAAACACATCATTTTGGGCATGCTTATGTTCAAGTCCCTAAAGTCGACATACACCCGAATTTGTCAAATTTTTCTTCTTAACTGGTGCAACATTGGCTAACCATGCGGGATATTGCTCCTCTTGCACAAAGTTAGTCTATTAATTTCTTTGCCTCGGCGGCAACTTATTGTTCTAATTCGAGACGCATTCTTCTGTGATGTTGTTTCACTAGGGTTATACTTTTGTCCACTCCAAGCCTGTGAACTGCAATATCTAAAGACAATCTTGTCATCTTTTCTTAACTCCAAGTGAAACAATCTTTGAATTCTGACAGTAACTTGACTAAATTTGTAGAATCTACCTCGTTGAGTAGAGAACATATGAAGGTAGGTCGGGGCTGCTCCTCAGTCCCGAGATTAACTTCCTTTAATTTGTCGACTGTGTTTTAATTTCTTCTTCAAATTTTGACAGAGCGTCATCTATCAGAGAATCTTTAAAATCATCTTTAACATCGAGGAAATCCTCTTTCAATCGGCTAGTAACAACCGTACAGATTTTTGAATCGTCGATTGGTCTTATCATATCAAATCTAACACCTTCTTTCAAGTTGAGAACTTGACCTTTAACATTCCATAATTTCTCAAAAAGATGTAATTTGTCCTTTGAAATTTGCTTCAACACACAACCCTGTTGAATCATATTTTGAACACAAGGTGAGTAATACCGAACTGGTAATTCCATTAATTCATCAAACACATCTTCTCCTACGTTTACATAAGTTTCCAAATTAGGAGAAGGAGAAGCACAGTAAAATTTGATTGATTTCAAGCCAACACTCTGGACTTCCTTAATCTCTAGATTGTGGACCCTATGGGGGTGAATTAGAGTTAAGGTCATAGCTTCCACGTAGTGGTTGATCCAATCATACATCGACTCATATTCACTCTTCTCAATATTCTCTAAGGAGATCTTGAACTAGGGCTTCTTTTGATTTACTGTCATTGTATCTTCGTCGAACTTATCTTCCTTAGAGCTTTCCTCCACATCAATGCTGATGGTTGGAATCTTCCATTCAAAAATCATGTTAATTCTTCCCCATCCGTGTCCCCAGCCTTGATCTCAGATTCCTGGGCTAAAAGAACCTCCACCGACTCATTGCAAAGGAACAGTGGGAGATCGTTGAATTGGAGTCGAATTATCCCTTTCTTGCGATCCTTTTGAATCGTCAATTTTATTTGGCACAATTTCTCGAGAAAATATGGTCTTCTTTTGAGGAGCATAGTAGGCGACATCTTCGTGGATGCCTACTTTATGTATTGAGAACGGTTGGAGGTCGCCCTTGATGCAATGTTCTTGTTCTTATTTGTAATACTTGATGCACTAGTGCAGCGCCTACGGGACCATATCATGCTCGTGAATCCACAGTCGACCAAGCAAAACGTTGAATGAGGTTTTGCTTCGATGATATGGAACTTAGTGGTTATTGCTTGGTCACCAACCTAAATGAGTAGAGTAATCAATCTGAGCGCTCTTTCTCCTTTTTGATTAAATCCTCTTAATATCATTTTATCGGTAGTAAGCTCATGTGTGTTGATGTCCAAATATCCTAACGTCCGTAGACTCATTATGTTGAATGACACTATTAGATCTACTAAGATTCTAGAAATTGCAAATCGATTGATGTTGATGAAAATGTAGAGAAGTCGTTTATAGTCGGTAGTACCAAGAAGCAAGTCTTTATAGGTGAAGGTTTCCCAGGTCGTTCCTTCAACAAACAAACTTCATCCGAGGATGTGCTAGCCAACTAAGCTAAGCAAATTTCTAGATCCAATAAAGTCTTGATCAATGCTTCTCTCATCTCCTTGAATAGAATCAGAGCATCGTAAATGCGTAGCTTGGCTGACAACTTCTTAAGATGATCTAGTACGTTATAGCCCACTTTATTTGAACCTATGGTTTCCTTCTGAGCGTTTTTTCTTCATCAATGAAGGTGGCTCTTCTCGAGTAACTATTTGTTTACCTTTTTGTATCGGAGTCATTCTCAGGGGGTAACACTTTCCCACTCCTCATATTCACTTCTGTGCACTTCCACCTCTTGAGTTGGACCCAGAGGTTCTCCTCCTGACAACTTGACCGATTCATTTGGTGTTCACTCTGAATGGGAAAAGTCCAAGTTGATGGCAATTGGTGTTCCTTGGCACTCAAGGATAGGCTCATTACTCGCTAAACTATCATAGCTGGTGTTATCGACATCTTCATTTTCGTTAGCACATCCATCAAAATTTAGTATGATTTGAGGATCATTTTCTAAATCAAAATTAGGGTTAGATTGGTTATGGTTAGTTACATAATTGTTAGAGGCAATCAAAACGTAGCCGAAATCGGAACTCTTATAATCAAAAGACACCAGAGGGGCGTACAGATAATCTTACAGAGTCAGCGGTTCGAAGGATTTCTTCCCCAAATCTAAGACAACTAATCTAGTGGGGACAGCACCTATCCTTCCTTTCGTGCTACTAGTCTTACTTCGTCCACGATCTCCTTCTTCCGTTGTGGTGGCTCCTCCGGTGTAATCTCTAGCATCGGTTTGATAGGCTGTAGACTCTGAGCGGCAACTTACACCAAGCCATCTAAATCTGATCTAGTATTTTATTAGAGGATCTACTCCAAACTATGCACCATCCACCCTTATCTGTATATGGATCTATCGAAATAATTAGCTCGACCGAATCTTTTAAATATAATTCACGTCATGTAAATGATCTTCTTTTTCTTTACGTTTAATGATCAAGTCGTCAACATAGCATTCAACAAACAAATTACTCTTGAGTTAAATTTGATAACAAGCATCTCAATTTTTGTCAAGCTCAAGCATATTAAAAACAAAAAATTTGCAAACGCCATTAATATAAAACTGTGTTAAAATCCCTTAAAATACATTTATAACATAAATTAAAGACCATAAAAAAATGTTATGTAGCTAATTTATTTTTTTATTTTTTTTTATTTTTTTTAAAATAAAATATGTTTGATGATTTAAAACATTTTAGTTAATGGGGAGGCAACAAGCATAAATATGTAATAATGCAAACACCACCTTCAAATTCACTTGGCACTTAATGGCATCCAACTGATCAAAATCACAATTTTCTACTACCGTGTTTCTCAAGAATAGTAAGAAGGGTCTGTTTGGGGCACCTGCAGCTTATTGAATAATCTACTGATAAGCAGTTTATCCTGATAAATTGTTGATCAGTAGCTTATCCGAATAAGTCGGCTGGTTGTTTAGGGTAACTGTTTGAAAACAGTTGATTTCCAGCTGTTTATGGATAAATGATCAATTTGCTCCTATTAAGTAATTTTGTCTGCAAGTGAACTGTCTTGACAATATATTTGATACTACAGAAGTAAAAAAACTAATACAAAACAGTAAAAAGAAAAAAAAAACCTCACTTAACGGTGAGTATCAAGCTTGATTAAAAAAAGAACAAAATTATTAAAATAATAATTCAAATCCAAATTTCAACCACCCACAATAAAATTTAGGTTTCAAGGTATGAAACTCAAATTCAAACAAAATTTTGAATTTTGAATTTTAAACGATCTTCCTAAACTTTCTGCAATGTCATCCCCTCTTTGAATTCAAACACTAGGTATTAAAATGAATTCAAAATGTTATAACTTTAAACTCATCCATTGAGTGGAATCAACAAGCTCAAGAGCTCACAAGCAACATCTTTCCCACGTTTCCAACTCAAAAAACATATCTTATCTGTGGAATCAAGGCAGTCAAAGGCTCGCAAGAAAGGTCTTGCCCAGGTTTTTAACTCAAAAATCATGTTTCTAAAAGCAAAAACCCATTCCGAGCATTTACCTAAACAAACCATAAATCAAAAATCATATCTTTAAAATATAGAAAAACATTCCAAATATTTGCACCAAGAGGAAGGGTTGTCAAAATTTGAGCGCTCTTAGAAACAAACAGAAAAAAAAATACTCAAAATAATCATAGTTTCTTGATCACAAGAAGTGTACACTAAACCAAGCAAACCTTGGGATAGAAGATGCCGACAGCGTTCTGAGCACCAAAGGCGACCAGGCCGGAGGCTCCCCACGAGCCGTTCACCACATGGTTGCAGTCGGCTCCGATGAACAACCTTTCTACCTCCACATTGCCATCGTCGAAGCAAGACCACTGCATCATAGCCGCTCAGAGGAAGAAGTACACTCGTGTCGAAGCAAGACCGCTGCATCATAGCCGCTCAGAGGAAGAAGTACACTCGCAAGGGTAAAAGGAAGCGGGTGATTACTGTTCGGAGCAACTAGCTCTACCGATTGTATCGAGAGGGTTCGTTTGTTCACGAAGTGCTGGGGAGGGAAAAGACGCTTAACAAGACTAGGCGGCCGTTCGAAGTGCCTCCATGCTTCCGCGAGAGGGGCATGGGAGATGAGTAAACTTTCTTTGTCGAACGCGGGATAGAACCCGCAGCCGAAGTTTAATAGAAAACGATTTCTGCGAATAGCGAAACACAGCCTAAAAGCGCGAAACAAACATATTTGGCACCGTTCTGAAAACACCCCGCAGCGAATAAGAGCTGCGGCAAATAGACATTAAGAAATTGCAATATATATATATAGCGGCCACGCTGACTTAAAAAATATATTTAACTACAAATCATCAATCAGCTATAAATCAGCATGCAGCAGTACAGAAATTTATAAAAAAAATAAAATAAAATAAATAAAATAAAAACCTGTTATTTCCAGGACCAATGGCTGCAACTACTAAAAAAACAATCCCAATCAGGCAAAATAATACTGGCCGAGCCACAAGTTGAAGCTGTTATAGTGCTCGCCCTCTAGACTGTTCTCTATTCGTTAGTAAACTGTAAGCTTCCTATTGTCAATGCCAGAGCTTACTGCAAAACCCATTGCGCGGCTTCTTGCAGCTAACGATCTCCGAAAAGGCATCCAGCAACTGCCCTGCTAAACTACTGGGCTCTTCGATTAGGGTTCGTATAAACGTGACGACGACCCTTCGCTCTTGCTCGGTGGACCTGAGGCTGAACCAGGTTAAGAACTTCATGCGGAAGCCATTCTCGATGTGTCCTGAACACTCAAGCCATCTTATCACCTTGACGCAGTATTCGTAGTTATCGTCCAGCTGACCGGAGTCATAGGTAAACCGGAGGGAAGCTCCGCTGACCAACGTGCTATCACCATCGCAAGCATCCTCGTGTCGACGCTGTGATAGTTTTCGGCAATCAGGATGAGATTCAACAGCTGGGATTTCGCCACCGCCCACCCTTAGTAAGTAAGTCTGGGAGTCTCCGCTGCCATTCGACCTTAGCGTACCATTCTTTTGCGATGTGCATCCATTCTCCGGTGACGATTCCATGGGTGGAGGGAGATCATCGTTGAGATCAGGAACCGATGCGACGTTCAGATCAAGTTGACGGACAACGGAGGGTTCCGTTTGATCCTCTTCGCCATTGTCCGGCTTGGCCGCACCACTCCCATCGCAGGATTCTTCTTCAAGGTCATCCTTGTAGAAGTCGTCGTAGCAACCCTCTTCTTGAGCCCAAGCTAGCCGTAAAATCTTCCCCAGGTTTCGGACTTTGAATCCAGACGATCCAGTATTTGGGACCTTGGAATCTCTCTTGCCGCTGGTCGAGCACCCTTCTGTCCCAGCTTGCTCCATCTCTTTGTGAATTATCTCGACGCTCCTGGCGAAGCACCTGGCTTCCCAAATCCCCTTCCGATGTGAAGGAGATGATTCGGAAAGCGTACTCCGTACACGGCTGAAGGTTCGGAACCAAAATCCTTCGCTGGGCTCTGGGGATTATGACGGGTTCTTTCTGGTAAATCTGCTCCCTGTTCTTGCAGTACCAGAGCTTATAACCCTTGATGGCATAAGGCGAGGAAGATAATGGTTCTTTCACAACAATTAGAAGAGAAGATGATGTTATCTCCTCAAATTGGAATCTACATGCAGCGGGAAGCGAATCTGCAAGAATTTTAACTTCAAACTAAAATTGGATAAATTAACAAAAAACAGAGAAATATGGTGTTTTTGCAGCGAAGTACCTCTTTGCTTCGTAAGCGAGTAGCAAGCGGAATTGAGCCACTCTTCCGCCTTCTCAATTCCGAGAGAGCACAGCTTTTGCACATCTCTGGAGACAGGAAGCCGGCTTACGAGGCCCCGCGCCATCCTAGCCGATACGCCATTAACAGGACCAACTTCTGCCTCAAGCTTCGCCTTCATATCTTCTACAATGTTGTGCAATTCTTTGAAATGGAGAGTGCCGTCCAACAGCCTGTAACTCAATGATATGCGGTGGCAAAGAATATCTACGCGGCGAGCATCTTTCGCAACTGCGAGCTGCTTTTTCCAGCACCTGCAAGAAGAAAGAGAATTCACCGTAACTCCAGGAATTAGTGGAGCTATTGATGTGTTACACTGCCTGTCTTCCGAACCAACTTATCTGAGAGTTTCTACAAGAAACCAAAACTAAAGCTGGGTGCAATCTGAAGCTGAAGGTGATCATTTGGTTTTAGATTATATTAGGTTTGTTTTTTGCCAGGTTTGAGCGGTGCATAACTGCCCCAAAAAGAAAACATTAAGTTTTGAATCACACGATTCTTATGTATTTATATATTCTCGCAGCTAAACTTTCATATTACATACATAGCATACATAGCACTTGGTGCTTTAAATCAATGCATGAAAAGTTGTATTTCACTTTGAAAGTGATAATTGTACTATTTTTTATGTGATATTAAATATTTTGAGTTGTATCTGTGAATATGAAAGTTTAGGTGTGAGATATGTAAAACTGTATCTGTGAATATGAAAGTTTAGGGGTGAGATATTTAAAAGAAAATCATTCATTTTGCTTATGTGATAATATCATGGTAATCTAATCAAAAGGGGCTGATAACCTTGAGATTAGTAATATGAAAGTTTAGGTGTGAGATATGCTTATTTTGAGTTCAACCAACATATTATCACATAAGCTCTAGAAGCTTGGAAAAGATAATTTTATGAAGGTACGAGAGCATTTACTAATCTAATCAAAAGGGGCTCATTACCTTGCTCTTGGAAAGCATGAGCTCTAGAATTTGGACTGCCTTGAGATGATGCTTGCTCAAGAGAAAGAGGGTGAGACAGGAAACTTTTCTTAGCCAAATCTTGGAGAGAGGGATAAAGAGATTCAAGAGAATCATTCAGTTTGCTTCAAGCATAATAGTTGCATT